ATGAAGACTAAGTGCCGTTTTGGGAACAAAATAAAAAGTTACGTTTTTGGACAAAATATCCAAAAACGCAAGTGCCAAAAACGCAAGTGTAAAATTACAAATTAGGGCTCATGAAAAAAAAAAATCCTTATGTTGAGTAAGGGTATTTTGGTCATTTTAATTTGATTTGCCACCATAAATAAATATTAAACTAAAAAGCAAAAAGTCAACTTTTTACCAACTTCCCAAATCACTTTTCAAAAAGCTAAAAAGCTTGGTAAAAAGTCAAAAGTCAGTTTTTTACCAATTTTCCAAAACACTCCTTAAGGATGGAAAACTAGGCAACAATGGAAAGTTAGGGAATTTGTTTGAATTGGATTATTGAATGCCTAGATAACTTATAAAAATTAAACAAAAATTAAGATTAGCATAAAATTAAACAAGATTAGCAAAAATTAAGTAGGATTAGCAAAAATTATACAAGATTAGCATAAACCTAAGTAAGGTTAATTAGGTTAACCAATATTAAGATTAAGCAAAGGTTAATTAGACTTAAGCTTAATTAACTAACCTAATGAGGTAATTAACAACTAATCTAATTCTATCCTACAAAGTTAGAAGATTTGAGTGAGTTGGAGAGCATTTGAGAGTTCTTGAGCTAGAAAAGAGATCAAGGGAGAAAAGAAGAGAAAAATAGAGAAAATCAAAGAAACATTCAAAGGAGCTAAGGTTTGATCCTAGAAATCCCAAGAAAATCTCTACAAGGTAATAAACTCACTCCTCTTCCATAAATTGATATCAAAACCTAGCGGAAAATTCATTAGAAACAAGTTTTGGAAGGAAATGGAAAAGTTTGAAAACAAGAAAAAGGTTTGAAGATTTGATTGATAAAATTGTGTTTTGAGTTGTTTTTGCCACAGACTTGAGTAATACAAATGCTACAACATAAACCTACACCATTTTCTTATACTTTCAAGCCTTCAAATCTTGTCCTAGGATGTTGAAAACAAATGAACTAAGAGAAGTTTTGAAAAGAGGAGAAATAGGAATTAAATCCATCTTTTACTTGTTTTAATCTCAAAATCAATACATATACATGAGTTTTGATTAGTTTTACATCATATATATGCATATTAGGATGTTATGGAACATGTTTTGGGTTTTGAAAGTATGAAAAATAGGTTTTGAAGGCCAAGAACACTCGTGAATAGCCAATCCCCAAATTGCCCTGTTTTCCCGTATGTGCGGCAGATCCCTTGTACTTATGGAATTGGTCCCCGCATGTGCGGCAACCCAACCTAGAAACCAAATTTGAGATTGCATAAATTGCACGTGCAGATTTGAAAGCTTTTGCCCATTTCGTTTTCTTCGACCCTCGGATACTCTTGTACATCTAGAAACAAATCTGAGAGGGTAATTTATAGGCAAATTGGGCCGAGCTGGGTAATGAGCCGTTGTGGGCCACAGTAAAAAGGGCTTGGAGATAGCCCGGTCCAGAGAGAGCTTCAGAGTTAAGCTCGGTCCATGAGAGCTTTACAGGTAGCTCGGTCACCACACGCAGAAATAACTCGGTCGTGGCATATTGCAGTTAGCTCAGTCATATTATGTTGGGCCAAGGTATGTTGAGCTTTCCTCAGAACCTTGCTACTGGTTAGCTCGGTCCAAGCTCATGGTGGATAGCACAGTTTCGGACAACCCAGTTGGAGTGTTAGCCGAGGTACACGTGCAATGAAAGGAAGAACCGAGCTAGCTGGAGCTCGGTCTAGTCTGCAGCTTTAGCGTGGCCATGTTATCTCAGTCGTATGGACATCCAACCGTGGTAGAACCATCTCACTTGGTTTAAGCAGTGATGGGGGTGTTGAAGGATAAACATTATCTTTCAAGAATGTGATTCCTAGGAGGACTCTACATGAAGGAGTAAGAGTCCTACTAGGATTGTGCCACACGGAACCTATGAAAGCTCATAACATCACCTATGAAGAGGTAACACAACTTTGATTCCCGAATACACAAAGCTTTTTGTCTATTTGTCTATTTTGCTGACTTAGGCATCGGAGAGGTATCCGGCATACATTCGCCGGCTAGCTCACGTTTGTGTTTTCAGGGAGTAAAGCGATGACGTTTGGAGGAGCGCGGACTTGATCAACAGGATTATACGAGAATGTTTATTTCTTTCCCGTACAAAATATAAATCGAGTTGAGTTCAGAAAGAAAAACTAAAGTTAAGTTAACTAATAAGGAGTTTGTCGACCACGAGCCATTTATGAGTAATATCTCTGTAAAGTTAAGTTTGAAAAGTGTTTTGTTAAATGAAAAGTACCTTGTTTATGAAATGTTTATTTTATTCGGAATGAATGAATGTTCTATATTTCTGTAAATCTAGTAGTGACATCCTTTAGAGAGTCCTAACCATTGGAGGACATTTATGTTTTGTGCCATGGTGATTACTGAGATCTCTCTATGACAACCACGTATGGTTGGATGGTTTATTCTATTGGATGTACCATGTTATCATGCTTTTAATTATGAACTATTTGAACGTTTTTGGAATTGTGAAATGGAATGGATTTTCGTAAATGTTTGGAACTCATTAGAGAATGTGGACTCGCTATGAAGCCTTATTTATTTTCTTCTTTTATTTTGTTATATCCTTTTGGAAGAAAGTTTTTTTGAGATATGAGTTTTGTATATAAACAAGTTTGGTAGTTATGGATGATATGTTGTACTTTTCTCTTTTGTTATGTGGATGATGTAAATTCTATAGAAATTAAGCAATAAAGTTGTGTGTTTTTTCATATTACTTATGCACTGCTCTATGGACTTAATAAACAATGGATGTTCCTTTATTAGCCCTATATAAATGTATTAAATCTTTTGGGTTATGTTAAGGCAGGCCTTTGGTAATCAGGGATTACTGGCTGATTACCTTTCTAACTTCTAGGGACATGTTGGAATCGTGACAATTAGTTTTTAAAATGGCATTATACAAACGGACCAAATTGCTAATTGACTCAAAATTTGGGAATTGATTGAGACAATTAAAAGTCCACAGAGCAAAGTGAGATCGGATGTATAATGTGAAGTGCAAAATGTTATGTTCAATTTAATTGTGTAAAGATCTCTTGTTTTCAAGTTTGAGATGGGTAGTAGGGGATGGCTAATCTATAAATTCCTTGAAAGATCATTGGATCCCATTGGTCTTAAATCCATAAGTGTGATTGATTTATCTCATTAGTTCTCTTCTTCATCCTTATCTCACTTTATAGATGGCAACACCCATTGCCAGAGCATGATTTTTTGTTTTTTGTTTGTTCTTCCATCCTGAATGTCTTTCACGTGTCCAAGGAATTCATTTACATACGTAGAGTAGAAATGATAAATTAAGGGCGGGTTTGATATCATCAAAAAAAAATTTAAAAAGTAAAAATTTTTATACCATTTATTTCTTTTTTGGCGAGAAATCTGTCAATTGAAAAAAAAAAAGAAAAAAAAGAAAAGGAAAAACAGCACTGCACAAAACTGTGCAGCCACACATCAGAGTCAATGGAAAATGTGACACACTTGTAGCCACACATACCATTTAAAAAAAAAAAAAAATTGAAAAGAGACAAAAAGTGCATTGCCAGTACTGCTGCTTGTGTCAGCGAGGGTAATTTCGTAATTTTATAATTTTATACAATATTTTAATACACATTTTTTCGTAAAAAGTCAAAAAATTAACCAAAACATTCATATTTTTTTCCTCTACTTTTTAGTCTAAAAAGATAAAAAGTACATTTATTTAGGACACTCCTACTGAAACTGGGGAGTACACAATGAAGTTAGGTTATTTGCAAGCATTGGAATTAAGTAATACTCGATCTCAACTTCATTTAGGTCTTGTTTGGGAACAAGTTTTTTTAGTAATTTTTTAAATTTTTAACTAAAATATGATGTAAAAAAAACTAATATATTTGAGATAACTTTTTGATTTTTTATGAAAAAATGTGCAAAAAATAAAGAAAAAATAAAATCTTTAATTTTTTGGTATGAATTATTTATTTTTTAATTTTTTTAATAATTTTTTAATTTTTTAACTAAAAAAGTCACTTGTCAAACGAAATCTTAATTAATCCTTTATAGAATTGGTTATGGTGGCGTAAGATTCTACCAAAATGGTACTATATTTATTTAGAAATGTCTTCATAATATTTTTTCGATCAAGTGGAATTTGCATTGGATAAAGTAGTAGAGAGAAGATGTTATCAAGCCATCTTTTTATCTAAAGATGTCTTCATAATATCTAAATTGCCCTCAATGCTTGAATGGCTTGATAACATCTTCTCTCTACTACTTTACGTATCTTTTATAAAAATAAAAGGAAAATTTACCCATAAGTCCTAGTTTTTGAAACGTTGAACCATTTAGTCCTAAAAGTTTTCTTATGCTCCATTTAGTCCTATTTTTACATCAACATGATGTGAATGATGTAAATGATCTGATGTTTCATTTTATAATTTCAAAATTTATTGAAATCTGATGAACATTAGATGTTTTTCATCTTATATTTTCAAACATTATTGAAATTTGATGAACATTAGATGTTTGAAATCCAATGTTTGTAACATGACTCTGATGTTATTAACATTGTAATGGGACCTTTCAGTCTATAAGAAAACTTTTAGGACTAAACAGTGCATAAGTTATTAATTTGGGATTTATTAGTGCATCCCCCAAAATAAAAAAATATTTATTTAAAACACTTTAAACCAACCCTTAATATTTATTAGTTTCCATACGTGTAAATTTTTAGAAGTTCAGCTCGGCGATCCTGATCGCAGTCATTCCCCCAATGAAACGTAACCACGTCATCGCTAAGGACTTGGAACAGCGCACGAACACGCATTCTATCTAAGCCGTCGATCCTCACTTTCAAAATCGATCAAATAAACGGCCACAACGATGCCAGGTTATCAATCCGTGTCGATTTATATCTCCCAATCAAAACTAATCCCAATCACCTATAAAAAACGAAACGTTACTCATTCACTTTATCATCTCAAGAATCTCCTTTGCGTTTCATTTCCCTTTTATTCTCTCTCAAATTCCTCTCTGTTTTCCCGAGATAATTCAGATGGCACCCAAGACGGCCGAGAAAAAGCCAGCGGAGAAGAAGCCAGCGGAGGAGAAGAAGACCACGGCGGCGGAGAAAGCTCCGGCGGAGAAGAAGCCGAAGGCCGGCAAGAAACTGCCGAAGGAGGGCGGCGCTGCTGGAGACAAGAAAAAGAAGAGGTCAAAGAAGAGCGTGGAGACCTACAAGATCTACATCTTCAAGGTTCTGAAGCAGGTTCATCCTGACATCGGGATCTCGAGCAAGGCCATGGGTATCATGAACAGTTTCATCAACGACATCTTCGAGAAGCTCGCTCAGGAGTCTTCTAGACTCGCTAGGTATAACAAGAAGCCTACGATCACGTCTCGGGAGATTCAGACTGCGGTGAGGCTTGTTTTGCCTGGTGAATTGGCGAAGCATGCGGTGTCGGAGGGTACGAAGGCGGTGACGAAGTTTACTAGTTCTTGAATCTCTAGGGTTTGTTTGCGGAGATTTTGGGGCTAGGCATTTAGGGTTAGTGTTTCAGTTTACTATTTACTATTTACTGTTGCTATGTCTAATTTTTCCCTCTTAATTTGTTCTTGAATTGGATGGATATCATGTAATTACTGGTGTTTTCATTCAGGAATGAAAGTAATTTTACTGTCTAATCTCTTTGTTGCGTTTGTTATGGATGTGTGTATGTGATAATGTGAGGTAGAATATGAATTTGGCATTCAAAAAGAGTTGTTTTGATTAACTACCGTGTTGAATCTGTAGATTGTTTGTGGAATTGTGTTTCCTGCTTTTTCTTTGTTGATTACTTAACACTCTTAGCCATTTTATCTATATCAAATCAAATTTGGGCAAAAACGCAACACATTTTTAAAGTTATGCAAAAATTTACTGAAATTAGGGATCTTCAATCTTTTAACTCAAGTCATAATCAAATTTGAATTTGGGTAAATATTAAGCAAGAAACCCTCCACTCGGACGACTTACCTGATTGACTTTTATTCAAATATTTGCCCAAATCATGGAACATATTTGTTCAAACTTTCCACTTATCTCCTTCATTGAAACTTTCACAGTGGATTGTTCTCAATTTTTTTTCCCTCTCAAATTTCTATTCAATTTGAGTTAAAAATATAAAGATTGAAAATGAAAGGGGAGATTTTTTGTCAGCTCAAATTTCCATAAAGTATTTTGTGATATAACCAAGTGTACTTTTCTTTCTTATATCAGGGGAGTCTATATAGTTTGAGTAGAAATACGGCGAAGTGGGAGTTTTTACTCAAATTTGAGTAGGAGTGAGTAAGGATTGCACAGTAGAATGGTCATTGGGAGTTTTTTTTAATCATACACTAAATTTATTCTATTAGAGCACTCATGTAGTCACTACATAAGCTAATGCTGCACAAAATTGAGTCCTATTTCTGCACATATCTACGCAACACAAACAATTTTAACTAGTTCACTATGAATATGGTATGAGGTGCAATTGACTAACAATATTTAAGTGGATGATGTTTGGTTGCAATGGTAATACAAGATCAAGTCTTCTCTAGTTCTGTGTCTTTAGGATTTGAAGCCAATCGACGCATTGTATCAACAGTGTTGCTTTTAATTCAATGTTGTTTGCTGAAGAGGAAAACATGAGTTGCTTGTTGGGTTTGCTTCTTGTTTTTTCTGATTTCTAGAAATTTGAGAAATTGCTAGCTCACCCAACCAACTGCTCTGCATGTTTGCTTTTACTCACTTTGGGGTGTCTGGCTGGCTGTGACCCAACAAATAGGAAAGCACATATTATGCTTTCCCTTTTCCCCCCTATTGAATATGGTGTATTTGCTTTATTTATCTCTTGGAACAGATTTGATGTGTTAGGTGGTGTTAGTGTTATTTGATATTGATAATACTTTGGGACTAAGATTGAATTTAGTAATAAGTAGGACAAAAGATGATATCATATATGCTGTGTTTGTATTGTGTTTGATTATAATATAGCATGGGATAAGAGAGAAATGATTATTTTGTCTTTAAATGTAGTGATGTAACTGAGTTTACGATCATGGAATGGGCAATGTCGTGAGACGTGGTATTGTTAATCTCACTAGTTTGGGAGACTAGCAATATGATGGTATAGTAAGTTTAATCTACATTTTTAATCAAACATAATATTAAGAAACAAGAAATAATATGAAAAATCATGTGTTCCTATTGTGAGAATTCGCATTTAATTATTCTATTATAATAATAATAATAATAATTTTGCATCATAAGACTTGAATAATAAATTACTTTTATTTAAAGTCTATTTAAAATATATGTTAATGTATAAGTTAGTTTTAAACCAATCTAATTCAATCACTAACAAAAATATTGTTAGGAATAATAATTTTGTGGGTATTTAATATTTATTATTTATAATTTAATTTAACAAGGATTTAACATAATAATTATTTTTACTAAATACTTTAGTTACAAATCAGAATTAATTAATTTTAAAAAATCTACACAAATAAATAAATAAATAATAAATAAATAACTAAAGAAATTCGGTGACAGTGTGGGTAATTAATCACCAACACTTGTATCCATGCATGTAATAGTAGGGAAATAGGCTCATTATATATCTTGGAATTGGAAGATATGATGAGACTTATTAGAATGATGAGAGAGAGAGAGAGCCTTTGTCGGATGATAAACTCCTATATATATATATATATATATACATATGCTTGCATTCTTCTCTCATTGGAGAAAATAAAATAAAAAATATATAAAAAAAAATTCCGTGAGTAAACTAAAGTAGGAAGTAGAAGAATAGAAGATCAAAGAAGTTTATAATTTTTCCTACCATTTTATCTTTCCATTTCAATCCTACTATTAAGTAAGAAAACTCTTTCAACTCTCTCATTTTTTTTTTGTTGAAATTTTCAGATTTGTGTTCATGTGATTGTAGATAGAATTTTATCTATAGTTGTATGTAAATTTTGTGATTTGTATATCAAATATTTTAAAGTTATTAGTAGCCTTAAAATCATGGTGAAATTTTGGAATTAGATTTGCATGTGTAGTTTGTGCCATTAAAGAGATGATTAAAAATTTTATTTGATTTAGTTATATGACTCTTAAATCTGTCAGAAACTTGTACGAATTTTTAGACAATTTTATACTCAAAATTTTGAGATGATTTCTTCTACAAATTTGTTAAGAATGATGTCTAGTTCATCCAAGAATTTTTGTAACAATTATTCTAGTTTTGTACGAATTTATACAAAATTTTAATTAAATCTGAAACTGTACTGCATGTTTGAAAAATCGTTAAAAATCCTATATTAAACCAAATCTGGTAATTTATAAATAAAAAATGAAATTTGAGAACTCAAGTTTCATAATAAATTTTTAGATTATGGAATTGATTTATAGATTTAAGTGTGGAATTGTTTTAAGAAAATGTGACGAATCTGTGTCATGGAATTTTTTGAAATTTTACAGAATTATTTATAACTTATTTTTGGAAATTTATTTCTGGAAAATGACCATAACATGTTTGTTGAATATTCCATGTAATTCCATGAATTTTAGAATTGTATAAATAATTTATTTATAGTTTTACTTATGAAAAGTATGTTCTGAAATTTCTAGCCAAATTGAGAAGGAACCAACCGTATTACTTCAATTATTTATTAGGACTAAAAATAAATATTGTGCTAGTCCAATTAATTAAATCCTACAAATTAGTAGTCCATGCATGTGTGTGGTTGTGGGGGCATTCTATTTGAACCCAAAAAATATCTTAGTACGCCCAATTTAAATTTATAAATTTTAATTCTTATTATATATTAACGTGAATTTACTAATAAGGACAATTCATATTAAACTCTAAAATAATTTCTTTTTTTCCTTATGGTACACCCTAATCTATTATTTCTATTCAAATCTCTACATCTTCTTCCTCAAGAGATCAAAGTTAGCTTGTATTATTCTTCTTTCTCTTCTTTCTCACTCAAAAACTCCAATCCACCTTATTGAAACTCACCATTATCATTAATATCATTGTTTGTTTATTATTTTAAAACTCTAAACCCTAGACGAAAGTTTGAACAATCAAACAATGGAGGAAAGTGATAATCAAGAAAATATTTTGATTTTTCTATGAATGCTTACCTCCTCTTTGATGGATTGCTTTAAAATATTATCTTCATTATCACTTTCCTCCATTGTTTGATTGTTCAAACTTTCTTCTAGGGTTTATCATTTCAAAATAACAAAAAACAATGATGCTAACAATAATGGTGAGTTTTGGTAAGGTAGATTGGAGTTTTAGAGTGCGAAAGAAGAAGACAAAGTAATTTTGATTTCTTGGGGAAGAAGATGTAGAGATTTGAATTAGAATAATGGATTGGGGTGTACCATGAGAAAAAAAAATTATTTTACGGTTTAATATAGATTGTCCCTATTAGTAAATTCACATTAAAATATAATAAGAATTAAAATTTATAAATTTAAATTGGGCGTACTAAGATATTTTTTAGGTTCAAATTGTACATTGATTGATTACTGTATAACATATGTGTAATATTTTCTATTGAGAATTTTAATGAAATGGTATAACACTTATAGTGATTGAAATTTGTAATTATTTGTGATTAATATAAAAACTAACCAGATTTTGATGAGGAAGGAGTGGAAACTGAAATTGGAGCCGTTGCCAATATAGAACCTTGGCTAACTTGAAGCCATGACTTTAGCAAAATAAAATTTTACGATCTTATGTATTAATGATTAAGGATGCTATAATGTTGCTTAATGTTGTATTTGGACTTTTAATTTTTATAATTTATTAGTGTTGTTAAACTTTTGGTTGTTTGAGAATTGAAATTTTTCTATTAAGATGTTAAATTTTCAATGTAATAAGTTATTTTGTTATTTAATTTCCTATGATGTTCCCAAAAAAAAAAACTTTTGGGCCGTCACACCTAAAAAATTACCAATTCAAATTCCCCTCCAATCTCTCTTTCAAGCCATATTATAGCAAATTAATACACAGCGAAAATAATAGATTCAGACATATTTTATATGTTTAAAGCAAATTTAAGGATTGTACTGGTGAATTATGTGGCTTCAATGACAAACTTGAACCTCTAACTAATGGAGGGGAGTAATACTACAGCAATGAGTGTTAACACTTTTAATCCACGCAATACAAAGACTCTTCGTTGTTCTTCAATGTTAGAGAATTAGATAATATGATAACCTTACTCAATATAATGTTATTGTGGGGATATATTTTCTGAGTACCAACATGTAGCTAAGGTGACGCCGACGTGTCAGCTGAGGTGCCACGTGTCCTGATTGTTATGCCGAGGTCATCTCAGATAGGCCGAGGTTACCTCCGAAGATATCAGAATCCGAGATAAGTGGATGAGGGGCAAGAGTCCTAGAATGAGAGAAGACTTCAGTTTGTATTAAGATAAGACTCTTAGAGAGTTTATCCTAATGTTACTGGGAGTCCAAGATTAGTAGTAATCCCGAGTCCATAGAAGTTAGGCTTCTATTGGGACTAGATTTATATTGGCTATAAAAGAGAGGCACCCCCATGAGTCTAAGGTATGCTTTTGATACTCAAGTTTGTGAGTTTAACACTTGATTTATCTTTGAGAGATAT